CACCAGCCTCGGGAATTTCGATCTGAGATCCATCAAGAGTTGACCCCCAATGACCACCATTCAGCACCAGGATTGTCCGTACCAAAACACCCTAGTGGAGGTGAGTACTGGTAATGGTGTGCCTCGGCTGGGGCAGCCCACTGGTCCCAGCGGGATGGTGACGGGACATCTAGCGACAGAAGATCTCATAGATACCTGGGTATGTCTCAGAATAGTCTCAGAATAGTCTCAGAATAGTGGATATCCATGGATATCCCCCAACTGGCTAAGTCAATACAAGAACTTGATGATAAACAACGGGATTTTGGGGGAGCCCATTTTCAGACAAACCCAACTGGCTATTCCGCTGATCCCCACTCTGCTTCCTAGCTGATGCAGTTGAGTAGCTCTGGAGAAGCGGACTTCAATTCAAAATAACAATATACAATTGAACTACAATTAGTTTACATTCACATCTAATATCAGTGAATTAGAATTTACAGTACATTCACATTACATGTATTTACATGTGACACTACATTATGTTACATTGTACATTACACATTACATACATTTCAATATTTCTGACGATATTGGGTCATCGCGGGCCCCGCAGAGGTGTGGTTTATGCCGTGGCTCTCGGGCTGCGACTGGATCAGCGACCCCACCGCCAGCAGTTGCACCATCACTAGAGGCGTTTTTTTGAGCTGATCTCAGCACGGGCTGTGGATTTTAAGATGAAGGATATCGGAGAATGATTCGTCCTGGGTATCCCTGGGTAAAGGTGGCAATGGAAAAGCCACCATTGATATATTTCCCACTAGCTCCATTTCAAGAAGGTTTTCAATTGCCACGTTTGAGTACCGGATGGTGAAATTTAGACCTCACGTCATGGCATCAGTGGAATGATTGGAATAGTAAGGGGAATCGTTCCTAAATGGCCCTATTTTGGCTCAGTGAATTATTATAGTTCAGCCTGATTTTGGGGGGAATATGGTAAGCTAGGATGTGTTTTTCCCTTGACATTTATCAGACAAACCCAAATTGCACGAAGTTTGGGGCATGGTTGAGACGATTTCATGGCTTGGAATATGTTGGAAGCTACTTGGAGGGGCCCTGGTTGGCTTCAGATGACAGCCCTGGTTGGATGGGATCGCCAGTCGGTCCCCCCATTGTCAAAAACCATATTTTGGGGGGATGAACATAATTAACTTCCTTGGTTTACGCAGAACCCCATGTCAATATATCTGTATAATATTGTATAATTCTGTATATATATACATATATATACATATATATATACATATATACTGTATATATACATATATACATATATACATATATACATATATACATATATACATATATACATATACATATATATATACATATATATATATATATATATACATTGAGCATTTTTGTCCAGAGCCTAGTTGTGTTCACCAACTGAGCTATCATACACTATCATAAATCAACTAGAATAACTCTAAATCCTTCATATTTCGTCATTTCAGTGGGTAAATCCATGGTGCGACAAACCATTGGAGTCAGGCCTGCAATCCAACACGGCCTACGAAGCCCGCGTGTCGATCCAGTGCGATGAATGTATCGGCGTACCCAGTTCCATGAAGGTGGAGTGCGGTGATTATGACGCTTTGCAGATGAAGATGGGCTGATGGGTAATTAACTCAACTGCCTCAAATATACTATATGTTGCTATGGATATACTGAATATAGAAAATAATCAATATTCTACAGTTCGTATGTATATATATATATCATTATACTGTATTATTGTATGTATATGTATATATGTATGTATTATGTTCGTATATAATCTTAATAGTATCTCAGATGGTTTAATGATTTAACATAAAATGATAGGCATGAGGACACACATATACGTAGACATTCGTATGTGCTTCATTGTATACATGCATTTGACATCATTTGACACAGTACACATGAACAGGAGATATCATGGATTTCCAACTGCCTATCAAACTAGGATTTGACTTGCATGTCTTCGACAAATTACACATAGAATATCAATATATATCATATGGATATATGTGTATATAGATATATATGGATAATGTTGATATATTGGAGTCCATATCATTTAAATTACACTAAATTGGATAATCTCAATGGATTGGTTTAAGGGAAAATTTACAGGAAAGCCCCATATTTACTGGGAAAATCTATGGTTTCCTGTGGCTGGACCGAGGATTCAGATCCGAACATCTGCTTGGACTGGATGATGGACAGTGGCCACTCTCTCATGTTACCACTTGGGTGTTTCCACATTGATACACGATAGGACACCATACATATACTGTATATATATACATATATTATATATATACATATATTATATATATACATACATGTGGACCCGTAACATGTATATAGATATAAATATACATACATACATACTTACATACATACACAGACATACACAGACATACATACATACACAGACATACACAGACATACATACATACATACACAGACATACATACATACACAGACATACATACATACACAGACATACATACATACACAGACATACATACATACACAGACATACATACATACACAGACATGCATACATACACAGACATACATACATAGACAGACAGACAGACAGACATACATACACAGACATACATACACACACAGACATGCATACATACACAGACAGACAGACAGACAGACATACATACTTACATACATACATACATACTTACATACATACTTACATACATACTTACATACCGACCGACCTACCTACTTACCTACCACCACCACAGGCCACAGGGGGGGGGGACCACCACAGGCACAGGGGGAGGGGGGGGACCAGAAGAACCAGACGATACTGTACACCCATACCCATTGGTGGGGGGGGGAGGGGGGTGACCAACGCTGCACCATATATATATATATACATACATACATGCACCTATGTACAGCATATACAATAATTGTAGATAGATGCCCCACAAGTGTTCCCTACATCATCAGAAACGTCATATTCCGTTACACACTTTTTTCGGTTTGCGTTTGCTGGACATGTTGGGTGCTTTCAGCAAGATTTATGATTTTGTAGAGAGTCACTGTTTGGATGATTATGTGGTCGGAAGCTTAAACTTAGAGGGAAATTCTTTTTGAAGGCCCAAAACAGCAAAACAGCAAATTCTCGACAAAATGAGGATGTAGTTTTGCCCCTTTTGCAGGTTGTGATCGAAGCAGTTTGTCCTATTACTCAGGAACACCCAGATGTTGTTGGGGCCAAATCCTTTGGTTTTGGAAATGGTGAAAATATGTGAAAATTATCTCACCAGGATATGTTTTTTGGGCATAAATGGATATCATACATACATTGACATACATATGCGTAGGTACATGATGGTATATGTATCCACATGCTTTCCCAATTGGTGCAGTTTTAAATATATATATATGTATTCCATATACCTTTGGGCTATTTAACAATAGCTTTGGACGCCATGGCCTAGTTACAGATGATCACCTGCTTCGTGGCAGGTTGCTTCGTGAAGGTGGACGCCTTCAGGTGCGGAGTGCAGAGCGGGGGGTGACATACCCAACGTTGTCAGGACTAGACTACAACTAGTATGGGATTATGATACCCAAGGACAATTTATATGATATTCTATGATATAGCCATATTTAGCCAATGTTTGCTATTGTTGGTTGAATCTTGAAACACCAACTAGTGCCAAGGCTTTCAAATGCTCCGGTTTCATGGGCACATCCGATCTTTGAACCTGGTTTTGGGATGATGATGATGATGATGATGACGACGGTGACGGTGACGATGACGATGAGGATGCTGAGAATGCTGAGGATGATTTGATGAGGAGGATGATGAGGATGATGAGGAGAATGAGGATGATAAGGGTGGTGAGGATGATGAGGATGGTGAGGATGATGAGGATGATGGATGATGAGGATGGTGAGGATGGTGAGGATGGTCAGGATGGTGAGGATGGTGAGGATGATGAGGATGATCATGATGGTGAGGATGGTGAGGATGATGAGGATCATGAGGGTGGTGATGATGGCGAGGATGATGGGGATGATGAGGAGAATGAGGATGATAAGGATGGTGAGGATGATGAGGATGGTTCAGGGTTCGTCTGTGCACGTCAAAAGTGGGTCGTTTGTGCACGTCAGACGGTTGGTCGTCTGTGCACGTTTTTGTTGTGTGATTTTGTCATTGTATCTCTGTAACATGATTCTTCTTCTAGCTTTTTTTAAAACATCATCACACAACTCATCAAGTTATATTTTTTTCCTCACATCTCTGTGTGGGGCTTTTGTTTTTAGGTTTGTATTCCTTGCCTTCTCCTCCTTCACACCACTCCGCTCATCTTACAACTCACACAACTCCTCTCATCTCACAAGTCACACAACTCATCTCACACAACTCATCTCTCACAACTCATCTTACACAACTCAACTCACTCAAGAGCTGCTTTCGTGTGCCATTTGGTGGAGCTGCTTTCGTGTTCTCTCACTGAAGTTCACCCAAAAACATCTACACAACTCATCTCACAACTCACCCCACCCCACCGGGAACTGATCATGAAAGAGCTGTGCCTGTCTCTGCTCTACGGGAAGAAAGATGATGAGGTTGCTGTGCCTGTGTGTGCATAGGAACATGAACGTTATCATCCCACCCCACCCCACCCCACCCCCCCACCCCACGGGTAACTGATCATGAAAGAGCAGTGCGTGTAAGTGCTCTACAGCAAGAAAGATGATGAGGTTGCTGTGCGTCTGTATGCATAGGAACATGAACCTTATTAACTCACCCCACCCCACCGGTAACTGATCATGAAAGAGCTGTGCCTGTCTCTGCCCTACGGGAAGAAAGATGATGAGGTTGCTGTGCCTGTGTGTGCATAGGAACATGAACGTTATCATCCCACCCCACCCCACCCCACCCCACCCCCCGCAACCAAACCCGAAATGGCTGGCTCCCAGCCTCAATGTGCGCGGATGACCGCTCTTTGTGCGCGGATGACGCGGTTTCTCTGTGCGCAGATGACTCGTTTGCAATGTGCGCAGATGACTCGCTTTCAATGTGCGCAGATGACGCGTTGACCCGATGATGATGGTGAGGATGATGAGGATGATGAGGATGATGAGGATGGTGAGGTTGATGAGGATGGTGATGATGAAGAAGATGATGATGATGATGATGAGAATGAGGATGAGGATGAGGATGAGGATGATGAGGGTGGTGAGGATGGTGAGGATGGTGAGGATGGTGAGGATGATGAGGGTGATGATGATGATGATGATGATGACGATGAGGATGAGGATGGGGATGAGGATGAGGATGATGTTGGTGATGATGATGAAGAAGATGATGATGATGAAGATGATGATGAGGATGATGATGATGATATTGATGATGATGACGATGGGGATGAGGATGGGGATGAGGATGATGTTGGTGAGGATGATGAAGAAGATGATGTTGATGATGATGAAAATGATGATGATGATGAAGATGATGATGAAGATGATGATGAAGATGATGATGATGATGAGGATGACGATGAGGATGAGGATGAGGATGAGGATGATGTTGGTGAGGATGATGATGATGATGATGAAGATGATGATGATGATCTTGATGAGGATGATGAGGGTGGTGAGGATGGTGAGGATGATGAGGATAATGAGGGTGATGATGATGAGGATGAGGATGAGGATGGTGTTGGTGATGATGATGATGAAGATGATGAAGATGATGATCTTGATGAGTATGATGGGGATGGTGAGGATGATGAGGATAATGGGGATGATGATGATGATGGTGAGGATGAGGATGAGGATGAGGATGAGGATGAGGATGAGGATGGTGTTGGTGATGATGATGATGATGATGGTCATGATGCCTCTGTCCATGCTCATGCTCATGCTGATGTGTTTCCATGCACTTATGTTTGAAAAGTGGTGCCCCCCAACATGTTGATCTATAAGGTTGGTTGTGGAGGGCCTCACACCAGTGCATGCAACCAAGAGATAGCTGCCGTACTATATATATATATATATTTACATATACATGTGATTACATGTGCTGTACATGTATGTACATGATATTATATATGTACAGCATGTATCAATATATAATGTGTACATCAAACATTGACTGTATGATTTATTCGATATAGTTCATAATTATGTACATATATATATACCATTATATACCTATTCCTAGATCATTATGTATATATATATATACATATTTGTTATATATCTATCATATGTATCTCTTTGGGAGATGGAAGCTGCGCCAAGTGCCACTCTCAAGTCGTCAGGGCTGGCAGCTGCCCATCAACTCCGAGCAATCAACTCTTCACGGCTCCAAGGTGGGGAAAATCCCCATGAAAACCCTGGGAAAACCATGGGAAAACCATGGGATAATCTGATGAAATCCCTTTGAAATGGTGGTTTAAATATGTTTAAATGGGAATTTCATCGAACTACATGGTGACCTGTTCAATTGTCATGTTTTATCCGGAGGGTAGGGTGGTTTTGCTAAGTCGAACATCTAGCTGGAACATCGGTCACCAAACCACCTTTTTTCATGGCATGTCTTCAAGTTCTCTCATGGTCAGCAAGCTTACTGTACCTTTTGTGGATAGGAGATTATGATGTGCCGAGGTGCCAAGAATCATCCTGTTGGATCACTTTATTGTAGCGGAGGATCCATTTTCAATGGGGCCATTTATGAAGGTCCCGTTTGATCGGAGATCCCGGTGGGGACTAATCAAATCCAAATCATGATTGGTTGTGGTTATCCACTCAACCCAACTCAATCCCAACTTTTCGACATGGCCGTCCCAGGCGTCAAGCAGCTCCCACCAGTCTCCGGGTGCCTGTGCAAGCGGGGTTTGAAAGTGAGGTAGACCTTCTGAATAACCATATTTACTGCAGAAAATGATGATTAAGATTGATTACACTGATTAATCAATTGATTTAGAGGTACCATATTTGATCACATTTTCAGACAAAACCAGGTCAAAAAAAGGGTGCCTTTGTTTGTTTCCACCGAAGGTGAGTGGTTTTCTGGGAATGGCATGGATTGAGTTTCACGAGCCCCAAAGCCACGTTCCCTTGTGTTCATGTTTCGGAAGGTGCCCCTTATAAGGGTGTGGCATAAGCAAATCTCTCGTGAACGTAAGTCAACGTAAGCTCCGTAAGACAAGATCTGCACGATCCGCAGGACCTGTGCGCAGAAATGGCTTAAGCATGTTACTATTTGGTGCCAGGATATGGATGGATATGGAGGTTTCCTAAAATAGGGGTATCATGGGGTATCCCCAAATCATCTACCCTAAGGATTTTCTAGTAAAAACAATCGGTTTTGAGGTACCCCTATTTATGGGAATCCATAAGAGACATTTAGAACATAGCTCAAATGGAGGTTCTGGGAACGGTTTGTTGGTGTGATAATTCTGGCCCAGTTTTCCAGTGATACTTGATGGTTGCTATGGGGAAAATGGCCTAAACGGGTCTATTCCACGTCAACTTTAGAAACATATATATATATACATAATAATAATAATAATGATAATAATGATAATAATAGTAATATTGTGTAAGAGCCTCTTATGGTTTGAAGGAATTGGCATAAATGAACCTGTTATGAATTGGCATAGTGTACACAGGATTTTCCGGCCACCCACAGGTGACCGTACCGATGGACAGCGGAGTGCGGGTGACGTTGGCATGGGCACCAGGACGACGGGAGGCAATGTGGGATGCAACCACTAAGTGTCACTAGGTCTCTGTGCTCAGCTGTGCTCCATTGGAGGCAAGGTCCCGATTTTTTGGGGTAGGGACAAAACCTTGGAGCCACAATTTTTCAGCAGGCTCACCTGGCTATGTGCGAAAGTTGGACTACTCAAATACCGCAAAATGGATGAACATGGTTTGCTTTACTAGGGGAAAACCAATGGATTTGGAGGTTAGCACACCCAAATACAATCGTTTGAAAGTTTGATTGGCATCTCCATATGTTGCCTGTATACAGGACACATTTCGCTTGCTTAATGTGGCCATGTTTTTTCTTGGTGCACCGACTTTGCTTGATCAGCATGCTTACTTTGGTCATGTCATGAATGCGCGTGGGTTGAATAAATATCACAACTTTGTTATTGTTAGACTCTATGTCAGTAGTTGTCAATTGCTTATGAAGTTGTTTTTTTGTTTATGTTGTTGTATTGTTACGGTTAGATTAAAAGTTCATCAACAATCATATACCTGTATATATATATACATACATATATTTTACATATACATATACATATACATGTACGTATACATCTGCAGACATGCAGACATGCGTGGATGCATCCAATCATAAAATCATAGATGCATAAATACATAGATGAATAGATTCATACATGCATGTGGACATACAAGCATACATGCATAGATGTATATAGACGCACATATGCATACATACATATTACATAAAGGTATGTTACATGTGTTTACATGATGCTATGCAACATGTGTGTATGTAATATTATATATACATACACATGTTATTTATACATAAATATATATATATATTATATTTATATAAATATTATATATATATATACATACACAACTATTTACATGGATTATCAACCACTCAGGATTCGTTGATTCCTGGGATGCTGGATGCAGTCCTGGGATGCAGGAGCAGGCTCAGCGAGCGATCCCTCGCTGCCGTCGGACTGTGCCTCCCAGAGCTATCAGTTGGAGGTCAAGTTGCAGACGGAGACCGAAGCTCGGTAGCGAAGTTGGGTAGCGAAGTTGGGTAGCGAAGTTGGGGTTCCAACAAGTCAGATCGGCCGTCGGAAAACCATGGTTGTTCACCTATACAAAGTCATGGTCATTCATGACTTGGGTGATGTAAGGGGGTACCCCCTGACTTAGGACACCTCCAGCTAGCTATAAACTTTATGGTGATTAACGGTGATTATAACATATGATAACATATTATCACCGGATTTGGCAGATGGTGAGAAAAGATGGCGCCACTAGTTGTGTACAGATTCGATGGCTAAACAATATCAAAAGGTTGCGTGTCTACAAGCTGACATACAGATACATATAGGGTGTATAGTGTGTATATATTATACGTGTATATATATATATATACATACACATATTGTGTATATTCCCTCCCCTACCCCCACACATTCCCAATCGAAAGGGCTAGAATCCTGACAACATGGCATGGAAGTGGCACATGGAAAATTTCTGCGAGCTGGAGGGCCACCTATCATGGGTACATAACCTGCAGGCGGACAAGTCATCATTGTTTGGATTGGAGCAGGATACCATTTACAATTTATATATATATATGTATAAACATTCAAATTATTAGTTATATTGATATGTATAAATATATTAAAATTATATTAGTTATATTGATATGTATAATGATATATATATATATATTTATATATATACACGTTTCTGTACACACACACATGCATGTAGTGTACTCCCTCATAGACCGTGCAGATGTCAGAATCAGAAGCACTGGAGCTTTCTGTCCGGGGTCCCGCGAAAGCGCCAGGATTGGGGAACACCAGAAGGTTGTCAATCCTTGGGAAGTGCCACCACCTGCACAGCACCTTGGCCAACCTGGCGAGGCTGACATCCAACTCCGGCCCTGGTAGGCCAAGCCTTTTGCACAATATCTGACCCAAGAACAACAAGTTCCAAAACATGATCATTGGTTGCAGATTGGATCATATGGCATTGATTGTCACATTATGACGAATCTACATATCCTGTCATCCTGCGTCATGATTGTGCTAAATCATGCTATGATGCCAGTAAATGTAGTAAATAAACCACTAAGATACTTTGTATTCAGCAAAGTACATCAATGATATGTGTATGTATATAATATATTTGTATATACATATATATGATATATGCATATAATACATGTATATATATATGATATATGTATATGTATATATATATATGATATATGTATAATGTATACATTACCTTCACCTTCCAGCCTTCCAGTTACCTTTCAGCTAGGTAACCAACCTATCTGACGGGCAAAATCCGAATGTTGTTAGGGTTATAGATATCACCGTTAAATCACATTAAATCTCATGAAAGCACAATTTTCACTGGTAAAATCCAATGAAATCACCAAATTGCACTGCTAGAATCCACGAAATCAGGTAAAATCCCATGAAATCATTTCTGTTGCTAAAATCTGAAATCCATGGCCCTAGCTGTTTCACCAACCAAGGCCCTTTTCCTGCAGTGCAACA